AATGCATTTTCAGGCTTATTCCCAAAATTTATTTATAACTTCTTGAGTCATCAGATGAACATAATAATTACCATGCTGCTTAAACCTAGTTTACTCCTAAATTAACATAATGGTCCATTATTTCACTTTTCACTTGTCTTAATAGTATTAATTGAAATGACCCATACTGAGTAAACAAGAAATTGAAAAATAAATTGAACTAACAAATTCTCATCTACTATCATCCCTAAGGTTCTCAATTTTGTAGCAGCATTAGTTATCTCAAAATTATGTTCATACATGATACGAGTACAAAAAAAAAAATGCATAGTAGTGATATCAATTAATAATTTTCGTTTTAGATATTTATCTACAATACGAAAACATTCTTATAGTCAAATATTTCGCAGCACTATCATTATGGGGAACAATTATTCATATAACCATAATGCTTAATCTGTTCGATCTCTCCCAAACTTTATGGAGAATTTTTTCTTCTTCACTGTCTTTAATAGTAATAACAGTAGGTTTCTCAATTTAAAATGCTAAATCAAGATTTAACAAATCTAAATTTTGAACTTAACTTACTCATTCTATTATAAGAAATTAGTCCTATTGAGAATCAGCACAGATGTATTATGTGAATAAAGGGATGCAATAAAACAAACTTAATAAGATAAATACTCACAACAATAATATTTTGAGTTAACAACACGTATATATAGATAACTTAAAATATAAATACAATGTATAACTATAGTACTCCTTTAGGTGGCAACAATAAAATACTAATAATGAAACTTACATATATTTATATGTATACCTTCATTGGGGATGCATTATTTAATTAAACAGATAAGTTACCTTTGGATATCCTATATCTACCCAATTAAAAATACATACAATCCCTTAAGGTTCATTTAATCACTTGAAAATCAATTCCTTTTGAGAAATTATTTCTCATAATTAAATAAACTCAATATTCATGAATATCACAAGAAATCAGAAGCATCATAATTCATGAAATATTGCAATTATGTCTACTACTAAAATTAATATCCATCAATCATTATGGTTGGGCCACTTTGGTAACTACCAACCTTTACATAATATGAATATTAAATTAGCTAGTAACAAATTTATGATTAATTATGTCTACTACAAAAATTAATATTCATCAATCATTATGATTGGGCCACTTTGGTAACTTCCAATTTTTACATAATATGAATATAAAATTAGACAATGATTAATTCATCAATAAGCTACCATTTAACATTATACACATATACTCATATTGATTGATTTAAATTTAGGTAAGTTCGATCCTAGAAATTTAATAGTCCAAAAATTCAATAAAAATATTTTTTACTTTATATACATAATAAAATATATTATTTTTTATTTTCAGACTTAAAGATCATAATTGAATCAATTTAAAATTGATTCTCCATAATGTACGTATGTTTAGGTACTAAAAGAATTTATTTACATGTCCAATAAAATCAAATTTCTAAACTCACATATTATTTTAGAGATTCAATTCCAAAAAAAAAAAAAAAAAACTTAAGTAAGTAATTATTTAATTATTTAATAAAATATTGTTCATGACATATATGATTTAGTGACCTATCGGGTAACATCAATGTGTAATTAATTAAGCCATTATTTATACCAAACAATCAGTATAATGGTATAAACAGAAAAAACACATAAATTGAATATTAATATTCAATTATATCATTAATTACACTTTTAATTACTTTATTTAAAAAATTCATAAATAAAAAAAAATAAAAAAATAAAAAAATCATCAAAGCAAAATTCGTCACATGTGCATGAATCACATTTCTTATAGATCTGTACATAAATCAATTATCTTCCAACCAATTCAGTCACGCTCGAAAATCAAAGTAACAAATGTAAATAAATTACTTGCTATACAAACTGATCAAAATAAACCACTAGGAGATTTATCAGACATTAAACAATTATTTCCACGAGCCTAATTAGAATGGTTTATATAATCATTAAATATATATATGTGCGGATTTCATAAAAAATAAATTATACAATTCTTTATTTTTATTTTTATTGATGCAACTTTAGAGGGAAATCATGAGTTCCTAAACTTTAAGTTCTGATACCACATGTAAACTATAATTATTTGTGTCAAGTATTAATCACATGATTTACATGAATCACATATCTTAAAACTTCATAATTTTCACATTTCTATAATGCATAAATAAATAGTTAGATATAAATACCTCGATCTGTAATTGCAAATCTTGTTGAGATCAAGCCAAACATCGAGATCATTTCTGCAGAACGAACAATATGCTAAACTGCAATAGTCAAAGCATGAAAACCGATTTCTCTCTCTTGGCGTTTTGCACACATAAATATTATACGTGTTGTTTTTATCAACGTATCTAACTGATCAGAATATGCACTTTTATACAGGCAGAGAGAGAACCAGTTTTCTTTTTTAGTAACCTTAATTCCACTTTCCATCAAATAATGAATAAATAGGAAAACACTTCTCTAATAATTAATTACCATAAAAGGTAATTTATAAGTTGATCAAATAATATAATATTAATCTGATACTTATTTATTTAACCACTAATTAATAAAATATATCACATGTCCAAAATATGTGGGCCATACAATTACTAAATAATCTTACATTTTTATCCTATCTCTCACTCTTTCAGAAGTCTAACTCCCTGTTTTCACCTTCTTTGAATTCCATTAATTAATTTATCTCATGTTCTCTCGGAATAAAATTTAACAACAAAGTAAAAATTTTATCCCTTGTGTTCTCTTTCGAATTAAAAGTTAACAACAAAGTTTGATATTTTCATTTTACCATTTTAACATTTATCCATTGTCATGATATCATCAACAACAACAAATAAATTTATAATAAAAAAGAAAGATAAAGTAGTTTCAATTGAGGAGCACTCAGCTTAGATAAGGACTGGAATGTATAATCCTCTAATTTTTTATCATTTTAATCCCATTTGAAAGTATAATTTTTAGGATTTGCATGAACGGAGAATCCAAAGTATAGTTTTAGGAATTCTATTTTAAAACAAAGTAGATTGTAATTATATAAAGTTGGAGTATACATTACAAATTTTACTATTCATCCCAGTTTTGCAGGAATATTTGCTTTAGACATTGTGAGACTGTAAATGTGTCTGGTAAGTTTACTAAATAGATTTGCTGCCTCTTTATCTTCTAAAATGCAAATATCGTGATTTTGTGACTAAATAATATCATATTTGCATGAAGTTGAATATAGTGATAGTGGCGTGTTTTGCATTGTTTTGCATGAGTGTTGATTATAAGAATAGGAGTTTAGTCTTGATAGAAAATAGGATGAGAATAAATGACAGATAATTTGAAATATCAAATTTTATGAGTGTTAGATTATAAAAATAGAATTTTAGTATTGATAGAAAATAGGATGAGAAAAAATGAGAGAGGTTTGATATTTCAAATTTGAAATTTGAGATGTTGGAGAAAATTAAAATCTGAATGTTTCTACAAAAACAAACCAGTATATATATGATTATATATTTCAACTTCGCGACCAAAGTTAGTGGCTGTTATCATAATTTATTATTTTACAACTTTATAATAATTTTTAATAAAATGTCTGACATTTTGTTTTTTTAATAAATTTTTTTTAAATATTTGTTTTGTTGTAATGGTATTTTAGGCATTTCAATTCTAAATTTATAATTTGTCCTTATTTGTTTAATTTAGAAAATGATATAAATTTTCTGACTATGTAACTATTCATAAACCCCACATATATATATATGTAACACACAAAGGGCTTTTTGTTCAAGTTTCCAAAGGAACAAATTAAAAAATATAATAATAAATAAATAAAATAAAACAAACATGCGATCTAAAACAATATGATTTTTGTTGCCTTCGTTTCTGTTAAATTGTGAGGTCCATCAACTAAGTATAACTTATAGGGTGATATGACAAATTTCAATAAAATAATGCACAGGTCCATCAAGGATAAGTGAAAAAAATAATAACATAATATTATTATATATAAATAATAATTTTTGCTTATTTTATTTATATAATTATAAAATGAAATCACTTATTGGAGCTTATAACTAGATAATTGTTATTTTTTTCTAAAAAATTTATATTATTATTTTAGTTAACTCAATCGCAATTTCATTGAAGCTCATTCTTTAAAAAAAAATTAATAATAATTACAAAACCACAACGTTGTGTTATTTATTTTTTTATTTTTTAATTTTAAAAGTAAAAATTGGGTTATAGATCTATTGAGGTGGGAAGCCTTAACCTCTGAATGATAAGAATTTTTTTCCCTTTTTTATCTCTGGATGGCGATGAGACCCGCCGAGGTGGCTGTCGTGGCGGCAAGTTCTGTCATATGGGTTTGGCCATGGTTTGGGCAATTGGTTGAGAATTTTGCCATTTTTGTGAAGTATTCATTTTTTACCATTAGAGATTCCAGAGCTTGAGATTATTTTTTCCCATATCATCCGATTAACTCAAATGTTCCTAAAACTACATCGTTTATAACAAGTTAATGGTGTCTTTTGCTTTAATGGTAATAAGGGGCAATATGGAATTTTTGTATAATAAGGGTTAAAAGTATGAATAGGTCAACAATACACAACAGGGGAAGATTTCAGTAAATTTGTGGAAAAGGTGGAATGCAGCAGCAGAGTTGTAGATAGATTTTGTAAATTAGTCTAAATTAATGGTGAATATAAATTATAACGGTCCGCCAAAGGACTAAAGCTCTGGTGTCAAATTAGCTTTACCAAGATGTAATATTAATTAAAAGATAAATGTATAAAAAATCAAAGTAAAATGAAATAACAAAGAAAAAACTAACTCATTTACCAAAACAAAACAATGAAGACACCTTCAAAGACTGAAGACAAAAAAGAAGATAACAAGGCATTTTTTTTTTCTTTTTCTATGCATATAGAAGAATATTTACCCAGTTCAACAGCCAAAAAGCCCCTTGAGAGTGAATACTGAAGAAGCCAAAGCAAGTTCTACAGCTACCAGTTAAAGTTAAAGAGTGTTGTTTATCTTCTCATTCAGAGAAGTACAAAATCAAATGGAACTCTTGGACCTTTACATGTGAAACATATATAAGTACATTACATAAAATGTGGGATCATTTAAAGTTCAAAGAAAATAAGGCCATAAACTTTTAATTTGTCCCAAATTACATAAAGGCCCTGCTACAATAATTTTAGTTTTATCTTACTTTGTTTAGTTCTCAATATACTTTCCATCACCTAAGAATTTAAAAGTGATCCACCAAATGCACTCAATAGGCTCCCCATAACCACAAAAGGTACCCAAAACTGCTAGTAGTAAGCAAAATATCAACTTGAGGAGGTTGTAGGAAATGTATACTTCCAACTCCACAATTCCAGATATAATAGCTCTGATTATATTGACTGGTTATTTTAGCAGACATTTTGGTTTCAATACCTTTCCCACCAATTCTTCAACCATTCCTTATCAGAAGACGAGCAATCTGAATCAACTTCCGTTTCCCTATCTTCTTCTGCCAATGAAAGAGCTTTAGTCTCTCCCTGCACTTTGATTCTTCCACACCTGCATCAAGAACCATAATATTAAGAGCATAATCCTCAAATGAATAAAAATTTATATCTTTGAAATAATTATGTCATCAACATTTTTACAAAAGAATGCTCCATTAGCCCATTTATTCACACAATCCACACAATCAAAGCGACTATAGCTACAATCTTTGTTCTTCAGTTTTACCATATGTGTGGTTCATAGCATAATATAGCCACCACAAGGAATACCGATACATTTGAAGCCAGTAGGGATTCAAAACTAAATAAATGCAACATCAAAATGGTAAATTCATGAATCAGAGACAGCATGGGCAATCTTGGTTCTTGGAGCAACATTTCACACAGAGAACTTTCTTTTTAAAATTATTTTGACATATTACATATTTCTCCATAACTTCTTTAAAACTAGTTGGAATTGGAAGATGATGTGCTGTTAATTTTTATTTTCTGATTGACAACTTGAGTGATTAAATATGACATACAAGGTTTTGCCCCTGCTGCATGATTATAGTTACAACACTAGTAAATACATTTTTTTTTTTATAAGTAAAGATTGTAAAAAAAGCGTTCATAAGGGAAGCACATCCCTCAAAAGCAACACAAGGCCAAATAGGCCTCTAAACCCTCAACGAATCCAAAAAATCAACAATTTCATCCATGGATTTACAATTTCTCCTTTGGACCCAACCAAAAAGGGTGCTAATAAAACACTAGTAAATACATTTAACCAAAAAAAAAGGTAGGCAATCTACATTATTATATAGTAGGAAAATGAACAATATTAAACTCAATTAATCAAATGTTACACAAAAAATAATTACAAATAAATAAATAATGAAAACATAAATAGACGCTGGACAACATTTAGGTATCTACACAACAAAGATGAGAAAAAGTTTTATAGCATCAAATTTTATTACATCTCTCTCCTTCTCTCTCTCCCTCTCCCTCTCCCTCTCAGCCTCTCTCTAAACAACAAACGAGAAATCAAACAATATTACAGCTAATAGGGTTTAGAGGCACCTATTAGGCCCTGTGCTGTTTTTTAGGGTTGCATTCCCCTTTTGAACACTTTTAATGAATTCTTACTTATCAAAAAAATAAATAAAAATTGTCTCTGATTCTTTCAGGGTTGATCGGGAAATAACAGGCAGCATTCATAAGAGGAAGAAAAATTCAAGGTAACATTATTATTGCTCATGATGTTCTCAAATGATTCTCAAAAAAGATTCTAATCCTTCCATGGCTTTTAAAATTGATCTTCATAAAACCTATGATTCTGTTTCATGGGATTGTTTTAGACCCCTATTTTAGCTTGGTATGGATTTGGGGATGGTAGGATAGAACGGGTATGAATTGTGTATCTTCAGTCTTTTTCTCTGTTTTGGTTAATGGAGTTCCTTGTGGTTTCTTCCAACCTAGCAGAGGGTTGAGGCAAGGATTCCCTTTGTCACCTCTTCCTTTCATTCTGGTGACTGATTTTTTTTTTTCCAATTTGATGCTCACTCAAAAAGGTTAATGAATGTGAATTAGAGCTCTGTAACTTATTGAGGAAAGTGGGTTCTGAGTTATCCCACTTCTTCACTAATGATCTTTTTATCATCCTAAAAGGCTCAATGAGAAATGCCAGGGTGTTATCTGAATTGCTAATTCAATTTGAATAGATTTCTGGGCTTAAAGTAAGCAAAGATAAGAATTATGTGTTTTTCTAAAGCTGTAACGAGGAGAGGTATTCTTAGGTTGTTGCAGTTTAGCAGATCTTTTCTTGTTACCTATTTAGGGTTACCTTTGGTTGATAAAAGGTAAAATAAGAATCACTGTGCTAATTTGATCGATAAGGTTTCAACCAAATTACCCTCTTGGAATGCTCATCATCTTCCTTTGGCAGGGAGAGCCGAATTGATTAAATCTGTTGTTTCATATTTCTTTGACTACTGATCTGCAGTGTACTCATTCCTGTTGGGGTTCAATGCATCTTGAAGAGAAAAAAATTTAAAACTTGAAGAAATTACAAACTTATTTTGGCTCAAGAGAGCAAATCCATACATTTGTTAAAGTGTGAGTTTGTCACTTTGCCAAAAGCAGAAGGGGGCTTTGGTATAAGAAGTTTGAAGTCTATTGATTTCTCAGCCAAGCGTGTTTTGGCCTGGGATTTCATTCATCCAAAAAAGTCTCTTTGGAGTTTGGATTGCATGATTCAGGGATAAATACCTGAAGAGGGCTAAATTCTTGAATTGAAACGCTAAAATTTATGATTCTGCTACATAGAAGATCTCTGTAAGGGAGTTTATGTTGGGGAATTTGGACTTTAAAGTGGGGGAATGGTCTCAAGTTTAGTCTATATCATGACCCTTGGTTCCATGGTAGTACTATTTTGCAGACCTTCGGTTCCAGAGTTGTTGGGGAATTCACCAGAGATGCTTTGTTAGCAGTGTCATTTAATTCTGGCCAGTGTTATGTTCCTCAGAATTGGCCTAATGAGACTTGTGATGTTCTGATTAATTCAACAAGTAGTGGTGAACATGATAGAATCATGTGGCAATTAGGGCTGCAACTTGGGCGGGCTAACCCAGCCCAACCCGAAATTTTGAAATTTGGGTTTAAATTCACAAATCGGGCTCATGTTCGGGTTGGGTTTTGTCAAAACCTAGACATATTCAGGTTGGGCTCGAACCCAACCCGAAACCCAAAATTAAAAAAAAATATTTAAGTTTTTTTTCTCCTTTCTCTCTCCTCTCTCTTCTTTCTCTTTCTCTTTCTCTCCCCGCCGTCCCCTCTGCTGCCGTTGCCGCCGCCGCCCCTCTTACAGACCATGATTAATTGATTTGTAAAACAAGAATTACAGTCTTACAGACCTTGATTAATTGATTTAGAAAAAAAAAATTTAAAACAAAACCCATACATACAATTTAGCAGTTGCACAGAGAGGGGGGGGCAAGCTTGAGAGTTGAGAGACAGCAGCTGAAGCTTGCGAAAGGCGAACCCGAACTGGAATAGCGGGCGATGGAAACTAAAAGATTTGGGTTTTGATTTTTTGAACTTTCTGAAATGATATGCCGATCTGGGTTTTGATTTTTTGAACAATCTGAAATGATATGCCGATATGGATTTTCAACTTTTGATTCTTGTAGACAGATAGATAAAACTGAAATATATGGGTCTTGAACTTCTGATTCTTGTAGATTTTGTAGTTTGCAGTTGGAAAGAGAGAGAGAGAGAGAGAGAGGGCAAGTTCAGAAAGAATAGAGGTGGAGGCGATAGGGGAGGCTGAAATGATTTGCCCTAAAAATATAATTTTTTTTATAATAATATAATCAAATATATATAATATATATATTATATATATTATATATATATAAATTTCCCAATAAAAAAAAATAATAAAAAAAATATCAACCTGACCCAACTCATCCGAAAACATTCGGTCCGGGTTATGACAATAACCCATGTTTAGTACAATTCGGGCTGGCCCAACCCAACCCAACCCAACCCGATTCGGACTGGGCTGGGTTGGGACTGGGCTGGGTTGGGCCAGCCCAAGTTGCAGCCCTAACTGGCACTATGGCCAGTGTAGTTTCAAATCAGTATGGAATAAGGTTAGAAATATGGGCCCTAGAATCAATTGGGACGAGTTGTTTTGGTGTCACTGCAGGCCAAGGATAACAACAGCCTTGGTCATGCATAATTCCATTCCTTCTTATAGCAACTTGCAGAGAAGGGATATTACCCTTGTGTCTTTTTGTCATAATTGTCTAAATGGGGATGATACTATGGATCATCTAATTTGGAATTGCTCGTTTGCTCAACAAGTGTGGCATTGGTTTGCTTCTATATGCAATTGGGAATTCTTTGACCAGCTTAGTAGCTTCCAAGATGTTGTGTGGTGATTCCTGTGTTTTCCTCCTCTTCTACTTTTAAGATCTTGTGATCGGAAATTTTTTACTGCTTTTCTGTGGCACATTTGGAGAGAAAGGAACTTGAGGCTTCATGAAGATCAGAAGAGAAATTCCAGAGATGTTGCTATGGAGGGTTGTTTTTAGGTTCTGCACTACAAGGGTTTGAGGTTACAGAACTTGAGGATTATCTACTGATATAGTTTTGTGTCTCTGTTCTGTGAGCTTCAGCTGGTTTGTTAGATGCTTTTATGCTGTGTTTTTTTTTTTTTTTTTAAATTCTGTTTCGTGAGTTCTTAGCATTCACCATTCTCTTTTGTATCATATTGTAGTATTGTATTTTAATAAAATTAACCCTTTCAGAGAGAAAAAAAAATCCTATTGACTTAACAATAACAATGCTTACACTGAACGAACACCTAGTTAGCCAAGCTTGAAATAATAAGTTAAAAAAGCTATACAAAAAACATTATATAATGAAAACAAATTAAAATAAAACATACAAAAATTCCAAACAAGAATGAATGAAATATAACATGAAAAACAAAAGCAAAACAGGTCCTCAACTACTTGTAATCTTCATATTAGTTTCGTAATGATAAAGTTTATCAACAAAACAAGTGAGAGCGTCCAGGCACTAAAGAATAGTTAACTCAAACCAATGCCGGATATCATGTGTGCACATATGCATTAGCAACACGCAATTGTGCAGCTAATCTCCACATCCAAACACTAACATTCTATATGCTATACACTTGAAAAGTAAAACATGACGCAATTAGTCATCATGCATTTCAAATTAAATCTTTCAGTAACCATTTATGCTTTAAAAAGGTTGAACTACCTCTCAATAACTTTTCTTTGGAGACCAATGTATATGCATCATGTCTAGGAAGTATTAGGGACACAATGACTAGTCAAACATAATAGCTTATGAGTCATTCTCAGTTGCAAACCTTGTTAATGTTGTGATCATAGACTAATAATTTTCAGTTGTGGACTATATAACTCCTTACCAATTGTAGCAACATTCTAAATTACAAACAAGTAAAATTGAATTTCAGTTTAATAGAGAACTAGCCATTTAATTTAAATTTCGTCATTTAACAAAATCTAGAAAAAAACAGCAATACATTTAAGCCATTTGAACTATAATTCATTCTCAAAGCTTTGTTAATACCCTATGCAAGTATGCATGCCCTCAACTCATTCCTACGCAACCCCACACCTGAACAAGAAAGGAAAATAGAAATAAAACCAACTCCTCATTTTTCTCACCCCCCCAACCAACATTGCAAAAAAATAAAAATAAAAATAAATAAAAAAAGCCAACAGACATCTTTGCTAGCAGCCATTTTTTATTTATACACAATCATTGGCAAGCACAATGTCAATTGCACTCATGCTGAAGTTATTATTTACCACTAAAGAATCATATCGAGTAGAATCTATTGAGATCTAATAAATTCAGAAGAGGAGAAAAAAAAAATGTATGGATGAAAGATTTATATATATAAAAAGGGCAAAACTAGTGCACGAGGCTCCTGCCATTACAGAAATATTTATATACGTTCCCATAATTTCCCAGTGCAAATTAGTAAAATATATGAAAAAGTGAACACAAGTTATCATCATTAAAAACTATAAATATATTGAATGGATAAAGACTAAAGTATATGTAAATTGCAAGCAAGCAAATCCTTACCTTGAACTCATGTTCAGCACAGCCACATTGTCACCAACAATGGCTTCCTTGAGTGAAATGAAACTGGGAGCATAAGAAATTGCTTCAAATTTTGATTCAGCACCACAAATCTTAAGGTATTTAAATTTTGATCTTTCCGTGTCATAACAAATCAGAACACATTTAAGATAATGAAACATCAATACTGCCCCATTTTTCAGGTAATTTATTGGCTGATATAAACCACGAGACCTTCCCTGATGAGGTTGATTGTCAATAGAGAACACCTTTGTCCAAGATTCCCGAACACCATATTTCTTCATAACCCATATGTCAATGGTATCATTATCATAACCGGAGGCATCACATATGCATAGACAGCCATCTAGCACTCCCATGGACACATTAGGCTTCTTACTCAAACCAGCGATTATGGCGGCACAATATATATCAGATTTATCATTTTCACGAGGAGGCGATGGAAACAATTGCAACTGCTCATTGTCAAAGCTAAAAGATACTATATAAACAGTAGAACCTCCCCCAGATTCAAGACAGAGCAACCAATGGACACATCCCTCCAGATAAGTGGGAGACAGTAGCTTAGAATAACAAAAGGGAGCATCACCAATACTTTTCCATGATCCTTCGCCGAGTGTGTAAATCTCAATCTCCTTACTATAATTTATCCTACCCATTGCTGGTGTGTGTACACCCATAACATGGGTAGGGGGATCACCAATCCACCGTTCAAACATTCTAATCACCTTGTACTGATTAGTTCTCGGACTGAAGCCAAACCCACAATCAACAAAATATGGGGTTTTCTCATCATTCCTTTTAGGCGCAGGAAGGTTTATAAACTCACCTGTGATCGGATTACACACAACAAGAGGTTCATTACACGATGGTTCAGACAAGCAAAGGAAACCATTGCAAAAATTCACAATTTTGAAATTTTGATCATTGGGTCTGACTCTGATGCAGCCCATTTGTGCATCACCCTCCTCCCTACTGAGCACCATTTCAGCATTGCGCAATGGGATCTTCAATTTGGTGTCAAGCTTCACATGACGGTCGCATCGAGAACAGGTATGGTGGTCACATATGCAGTATCCAAGGTCGAAATTGTGGCAGTCTTTAGGCTCAACCAAGTAAAGCGTTCTTGACACATGTTTTGAATCCACTGTATAAAGCAGAACACAGGGCTCTGCCTGTTCATGCTGCAGCTTGGCGAATTGAGGGTCAGAAATTATACTGCGCCAATTTTTGCAAACGCACCTGGAAATTAGAATACTCTTTACAGAGAGCTTTAGTAGGATATCAACTATTATAGGCCCCGGAAGATCTGTGATTGAAGAGTCCGGTATCTGAATTTGTTTAGGGTCATAATTGTCTCCTCCTTCGTTGCCTTTCTGGGTTGAATTTCTTTTTCTTTTCATGGCCACTGCTCTATGAATCTATGAAATGGATTTAGAAGTCAGTCACAGAATATATAGAACCCTAAGAGCATCGATTCAGTAAAATAAGGGGAAATTATAAATAAATAGCTGGAGTTTATGATTTCAGGGAAGAAGAAGCTACCACACAAATCCCTAGTAGAAATAACTCAGATGCCATGGCATAGTACAAACAATAATACTATAGAGAGAATTATCTGAAACAAAACCCTCGTTACCAACAGCAAAATAACTAGTTTGAGAGAGGGAGAGTTACCTCCCGGAACAAAACCCCAAGTTACCAACGATAAAATAACTAGTATGAGAGAGAGGGAGAGTTACCTCCCGGAACAAAACCCTAGTTACCAACAACAAAATAACTAGTATGAAAGAGAGAGTCACCTCATGGAACAAAACCCTAGTTACCCAAAACAAAATAACCAGTATGAGAGAGTTACCTCCTGGAACAAAACCCTAGTTACCAACAACAAAATAGTAACCAGTACGAGAGAGAGTTACCTCCTGGAACAAATGTGGCCGGTGGGAGCAAAATAGAGATGGGTAATCCGCTGAGTCGAGTTGATCCAAACTATAGAAGACATACCTCGCTACAAATATTGTAAGCAAAATCACACATTACCGGTCGTTTTAAAAATTAAACCCACCGTAAAAAGACAAACTACCCTCTTAAGAGGAACATTTGTAATCCAAATGGGCACAAAAGAGGGAACGGTATATGAATGGAGAAAGAAATGTCACCGTTCTCCACTATTTGTGGAGAGAAGTAAAATGAGGTGATACATTTCATTGTTTCGCAAAAGAAATGGAAATAAGTGGTTTTATACTCTTTTACCATTATACCTTCTTTATATAATTTTACAAAAATTGAAATTTATTAACCTCCTAATACATAATGTATCATATTTATCTTTTCTGTCCCTCTTCCTTCTGTTCAATGTTGAAAAATAAAATAATAAACTATCGAGCTTGCCTCATCCATTTGAGAAAATATGTGAGACCAATTTCATTGAATGGTATTTTTTATTTATTGAGTAAGCATTACCAATGACGTGGCATACCTACTCACCCAATATCTACTCCATCCATTCATCATTCCCACCCTCCCTCTAACTTTTCTTTGTCTCAAATAACAGATAGAGGTGCTCCATCGGTCTTCCTTATTGTTCTTTCCCTTTTCATTCCCTCATATTGAACATAGTGTAAACTTCATTTTACTTTGAGAGCCCAAGATTGTCTGTCAACTTTGAATCGCATAAGGAGTTAAAGAGTTGGAATGGTATGAAATCCCAAAAGGTTTGAATATACTACAAATGGGAGAGATAGCAACAAATTCTCTAAGGAAAAACTCTCATAGTCCTTAATGGAGAAGTTAAGGGAACCAATTCCCTAAGTGGATACCACTACCAAATCTTTGATAAAATGAGGGGTCAGTCAACCTACTAAAGTATGACATAATGCTTCACTGATGTGTCTTTTCTTTTCCCATTTATCGTAAAGTACGTACTTCACCATCAAAGTGCATCTGGCTAATACCACACCTCTCGCCACTTCTCTTGTCTTGCAAGAAAGGCATTTGGCTCTCGATAGTATAGATTTTGTATCAACAGGTGGCATCGTCTATGAGAAACATATGCTAGCATCCTTAAGAAATCATGGTTTCCTTAAGAAGTTATGGTACGGATGTGATCCGATTTGAATGCTGGGGACATCCAGTCAATGCAAGTGTCTGATTATGAGGGATTGTAAAAAACATAACCCCACGTCCTAAGCGATCGTAAAGTGTCGCAACACCATAACAGAAGGTCCCTCACTATTACAGAACATGCAGATTGGGTCTCCACATGAAAATCGTCCATCCATTATACTAACAGTAAAATGGTGAATCACATTATAGCAATCTCGTGCATAATGATAATGCTTAAAATCCTAGCACCTCAATCCTAGCACACGAAGCTCCCATATGTGGGCATCAAGCACCAATCCCTCATTCACCAAGCACCAAGCCCTCATCCAAGGGACGCTAAGCCTGGTCTCCTTTGTTAGGCACCAAGCTTGTCTAGTGATTGCACTTAAAATAGTTTCAGCCACATTCGGGACCCACATATAATCTGCAATGCCATGTGTCCTCTGAGTTCCAATCCAGCTAAATCGATCAGCCATACTCAGCGTTGTCCAAATTAGAATCATTTAGAGTTCAACTTAACCGAGAGCCTACAAGCCATTCGAACAGTATATCGAGGGACTTGGACGAGACTCTAGTCCACTATTTCGATCAGAAATCCAGCGTTGTGTCCTCATCCAGAAGAATTTAGTTTCGCCCAGTAGTGTCGCTCCTCCAAAAGATGCTATTGTCCACTAAAGAAATCACGGGAAGCGCATATGTCTAATCAAACACAGAAGCATTAAATAATGCAATCATTTCAAGGGAGACCGTCAATGTTACGCATTTAATGAGAAATACCATGCACATAAGCTACTCTTTATACTCTACACCTCTTACCTAGAGCTATCCACTGTCCTTGCAATAATCCAATTGTCCGTCCATGTAATACCCCTAATTTCAAAAGAATAATTCTGGTATTTAATTGATTGTTTAATTACATTTTTATTTGGTTTAATTGTTAATTTTGTTGGTTTAATTGTTTATTTGCATTTATTAATTGATATTTGAAGTAAATTGATTTAATTGTTTTTGTGTGAATTATTTGACTTATTTAAATTGTTTAATTATTGTGTGATATTTTCTTTAATTGTTAATGGTATTATTTTTTATCTGTAATTCACTGTTTTAATATAATTCTTGTAATGTTAAATTCTTAGGGTTTCTTTTCTTTTAGATTACACGGATGGGCTAACTAGAATATCAGTTAGGTTCTCTAGTTATACACGGATTAGGGTTATTGTTCTGAGCCTATAAATATAACATTACTGTGGTTTAGGGTTTTAGATAACTTAAACGTAATTCTGTAAAATGAACAGAGCATATTGAGATACAGAGAGAAACAGAGAGAGATAAAGAGAGGAAGGCTAGGGTTTTGGCTTAGGCTAAGACTGAATCAAGGAGGGGAGTTTAGTGTATGCTTGGGGATTGAACTAGGAGCAGCAGAGGTCGGTAAAAACAACTGACATCGCCGGAGTTGCTAGAGACGACAGTTTAAGATTTCTAACCGGAAATCAGAGACAAGTCTCTGTTCTATTCTTTCCCATGAACCTGTGTTCTATACATGCCTAGGTGGACTCCAGGGGCTTATTTAATGCTTAAACAATCTTTTATGCATGCTTGATTTATATTTAATTTCGTTTGATTAAACTATTTGCAAATTCTTAGAGTTTTTGTTAAATTGGTTCCTTCTGTCTTTGCGTTTAAGTTTGTTTATTTGAGATCAATGATGCATATAGATGCCTTATAATTAATTTGGAATGCTAAATGAATACTGGAACAAGGATTTAAAATATTACAGAGGCCATGGGTATCACCGAAATCGAAGAAGACGAGGGGAAAACGAACAACGGCTGCTAAGGGAAGGAGAACAGGCTCCCAAAACCCTTAGAGCTGGCTCCCAAAGAAGTGGAGCTGGCTCTTGATGCTTTGGAGTTGGCTCTTGGAGCCTTGGAGTCGGCTCTTGGTGCATTAGAGCAGGCTCTCAATTTGAGAGAGCTTGCTCTCTCCTTAAAAAACACTAAAACAGGTTTTAGGGTTTGGGCTGAACTGGGTTCTCCAAAGCTGTTTAAATGCTACTGAATGGTGTAATTCATTGCTAGAGACTTATAAAAATGTTGGGAAGCATGTTTACATTAAGATATTGAAGACTGAATTAACATAAGGTTAAACGAAGAACCCGTATGTGGAAGATTGGATAATTAACTTATATTGCCTACTGTTTTAGCAATTTGGTTTCTCTTCATGATCTTAAATTGTGAATCATGTTTTCAGCTGTGTTATAAGCATATAGTTGTTTAAATATATGTATGCTTAGATGGAATTAACTGATGCTTTAAATCTGTTATATATTGCATCAGTTTGGAGAACTAAATTGCGTAATCTTACCTTATCAGTTTAAAGGACCAGAATTGGATTTTTATATCTTATATTGGATGCATAATGTGGTTATACACAGGTTACACTATATTTATGCTTATTTTGGGATGTGGTTGATGAATATTTATACTGTTTTGTCAACTATGTTATCTAGAGAGTTGTTTGCACCGGTATGGGACGGTGGCATGCTAGGTATGGATGAATTCAATCACTAAGCCCTACCTAATCTGGATTAAGGTACGGATTAACAATAAAGGTTAAGTCCAACTCATATTGGTGTCAGGTCAGTAAATCACTTAATGACATAATTTAGTTTTTCTGGGATAGATTGTTATAAATATATCAAGCCACTATACCAGTTGGGCGATATTTTGTATTAGAAGGATACGGACTTTATATATCTATGTTATGGGGCCATGGTATGAGCTTGAGTCTCAGGATCATAGTTAGGGTGCGTATATCGCCTAAGATGGATAGCTGGACAGTAGTTGTTGTTCCCTGGTAGGTCTAGGTACACATGACCACATTATGTGTGATTTGCATGGTATCTCAACTCAGGCTGAGACAGGCCTATTGGACTAGTGAGCGTCCTATAGTGTGTACTTATACATATATAGACTACTCTAGATATTGTTGAGCCTATCTAGGATGTATCTGCGTATCGGGTTTATGTATGGATCGTAGTAGAATAGGACTTGCATGTGGGCCTGACCCACTTTTTTATTTTTACAGGTGCTCGTCAGTTCCAGGGTTAGAACTTGGTCGTGCAGAGCAGATACAGACATCCATTCCATCGACTACGTAGGACTACTTTCTTATTTAGCTTTAAGTTTGGATTACAGTTATTTTCTTTCTAGTTTGGGATTTTATTATTAGGGGTCCATTTGAGGAATTCCCGAGTTGTTAACTTTATGGAGTTACTTTGGAGTATTGGATTCTAATAATTATATTTTGAGGAGTTTCAATTACAATTCTTTTCAACCTTTAATTAATTATTTCTTATTAATTTAATTCGTATTATGTGTTTGTTAAATATTAATTGTTTGATATTCCCTCGAGTTTGGGCCTGAGCCTGATCAACCCGTGTCTCGGATCCGAGGAGTATCATAGTCCAGAGCTCAACCAAGTCATCCATCCCCAAGATATCCAAGCCGTCTAAGGAAGATTGATCCAATGATCCTCCTGCCAAATTTTTCTTATACGTAAGAAAATACCCTTATATGTTCATTGTAAGGGTCCCGGACCAAACACAGGACATTCATTTCATAATTCCTCCACACAAGTGGTTTCATTTCCACTTACAATTATGGTTTAAAGTTATTTTCTGGCAACCACTCCTTCTTAAGGTCCTTCATTGCACTTTAATTGGTGAATTTACTTTAAATGCCTTTAATGTTTCCCTTTACCACATTTTTATAAGGCTTTCCTTAA